CAGGAAAGAACAGTTAATTGGGAGATAATATTTTTTCTTAAGTAACTTCAGGTGAACTCTCAGAGTTCAGAGTCAGCTCTGTAGTAACTGAAGAGACTTAGTGACTCTCAAGCATTATGGACACAACATGTTTGGATTTCTCAGTATTCGCAAGCAGCTGCCCTGAAATAAGATCTATATTAGGGACAAATAACCCTGAAGCATTGCTTCTCAGTCAATTTTTTTGCTCAAAATTAGCAGTGACATCACATGAATAATACTTACAGATCTTTACTGCACAGTCTCAGTTTATTTAAATGCCTGTGAACCTCTACATATTGATTTCTCATTTCTGTACTTCTTTATGAACTTATTTTCATATTTACCTACGCCTACATGACATTCTGCATAAAAATGATACTAAAATACTATCTGAATAGGAATACTCCCTTCTAGACTAAATATCATCTTCATTTTTGGTTATTTTTTCTTGTAGGCTTAGACTGGGTTTGTCTTCATGAAGAATCATCCTAAAACATATCTTGTAGTTCTGCACTGGGCAAAGAAGGACATCTTATTTCAGGTATCTGCCACTTACTGATATCACAATGGGACTTGGGTAGCGTTTCAGTGATCTCTTAAATTTTTTAATGGGGCAGGAAACTTAGATGAAGTTGGTGGGCATGCAGTAATTGGGTTCTCTTTCCTGTTCAGGAAGCAGTTTATTTCAGGAGCAGTGCTTTTTGTGGGACTGAAATGAAGTTTAACATGTGAGAAAGTGGGAAGTTACTTTGAGGATGTTAGTTAACAAATGAAAGCAGATAAATAATGTGGAAGAGATTAGGCTGCTCTGTGAATTTTTAGCAAAAGACTGATAATATCATGAAAAATGTTCCATCACAAGAGGAAAGTAAATGAAGGAAGAATGTGCTTTAAAAAAAAACACAAGACAAAACAATGTTTGCTAAATTGAAAAGACTAGACTAGCATTCCTATTCAGAGAAATGCCACTTTTATATTTCTAAAGTATTGCTTCAGAAACAATTATGATAATAAAGGAAGCAAATGCCTGGACTCTCCCTTTCCATTGTCTGCATGGTTTTTCAGCCTTTTCCAGTGAACATGAGCTCTAAATGAAGTCAGAAAACACTTGTTTGATTACAGTAGGAGGTAAATCAAATCTTCAATGGTCATAATTCCTTTGATATCCATATAAGGTCTGCATGAAGACATGCAGAAATCAGTTGTGCAGATCAGGGAAGAGAATTTGGATTTAAAACTGACTAAACAGAAGATTTAAAATATATTCCTCATAACTTTTTTTTTTGAAGTAACAATGTTATGGACCAACACTGATGAGTTGAATCTATCAGTGAATTTAAATGAGTATAGTCGATTAAAGGTAGGGAAGATGATTAATTAATTATGCTATGATTACCATTTATCTTGAATTAAAGATATATACATATATATTTTTTCAGTTAGTTCACATTATCCCTGTTAATGATATTGGAGGGTGCTCCCACATTAACAGTTCCAAATAATCACACAGGAAGACATCAGAATATTCACAGTATTTTCTTTGGGGTTGGTCTCTTCTCACCGGTGACAGGTGACAGGACGAGGAGAAATGGCACCAGGGGAGGTTTAAGTTGGATATCAGGAAAAATGTCTTTACAGAAGTTGTTAAGCACTGGAATAGGCTCTCCAGGGAGGTGGTTGAGTCACCATCCCTGAATGTGTTTAAAAACCATTTGGATGTGGTGCTCAGGGCCATGATTTAGTGGAGGGTTGTTAGAGTGAGGGTAGTATGGTCAGGTTGTGGTTGGACTTGATGATCTTTAAGTTCTTTTCCAACCTAAGCAATTCTACGATTCTTCAAGAAGAGAAGGAGCAGGCAATTGTTTGAAATATATGAGCATTTGGTTTTGTTCAAAGACATGAATTGCTTTCTCAGTAAATAATGTGTATTTCTGGTTGCATAGCTCCAAGATAGTGGTTGTAGAAGATGTATAGATGTGGTTGAGTTTTCCACATTTTGGATTGCATGATAGTTTACATCAGATAGTTGGAGTTCACTGTTTGCAATGGCTTATGTGGGAGAAGGTGAGACAGATTGATGTTGAGTCACCTGAAGATTATTTGGAAGATTGTCTTCAGGTGCCTGGAGGGTTCACATGTAAATAAATTGCAATTCTGACCTTAACTGCTGTGCAAATTGATACATGTGTAGCCACCTCTTTCAATTTCTTCTCAAGGAAATGCTGTGAAAGATCTACAGATATGGTGTGCTGATGATATTTCATCAGCATTTATAGTAAAAAATGTCTTTTTCTTGTCTCTGCTTCTAATTTTAGGTTGGCATCCAAAAGAGCAGAGTTAGAACTGCTGAAGAGATATTGAAGTATCAGATCAGGTTCCGCCACAGGTGAGAGTTTAGAAGAAGGAAGATTGCTGTGACCTTTTCCCAGGTGATACCTGTTGCTTTCCAAGCCTCAGTGAAAACTTCACAGGCTTTTAAGTTTTACTGCAGCTAGTTTAGCCAGAACAAAGTCAGAGGACACCCTGCACTCCATTTGTTTATATTATAGGAAGGATTTTGCTAAAAAGATGGGAAATGATCCAGCTTGAGTGATTTTTTTTTTTTTTAATGTTGTTTTCTTCTCAGTGTTATTAACAGCATGGAAACTTATAACCTTTTTTTAATATTTATTTTTTAATATTTTCACATGACTTTAAAACCTGTACAGTTCTCCATGAGACAGAAAACCGTGTATTCTAGCTTGGCAGACATCAAATCCAAAGGAAAAGGACAAAAACTGGAAATGCTGGTGATTCCAGGTTTGTGTCTCCAAGCGGACCATGGAAACAGTCTGAGTGCATCTCTAGCAACCTGTAGCTCTGCTTTGTGTGCTGATTACTGCAGATCAGTATTCTCTTAAACAAGCTTGCAGGCTGCCTGTGTACACTGAATCAGTCTTTCTCTGCTACCAGGGTTAATTCTGCGATAGCGCCACGTTCACTAGTGAGTGGCTGATATCTTTCAAAAAATAATTCCTGTTCTTGTCTTTGTTTCATACACACATGAACAGATGCCAGACAATCTTGTCCAGTTTTTAAGAAGGGTTTGGGGTTTTTTTTATGTGTGTGTTCTGTTGTATTTTAATGATTGTTGAAGCAGAAGAAGCTGAACACTCCAATTTTGCTGAAGTGCATTCCTTCATGAATGTGCAGATTCTAGAATGTCATTGTTAGGATATACAACCAGCCAGATGATTTTAAAAGGGGCATTAACTACCTGGCTATAAAATGTAACTGTGGAAAGGACTGAAGCCTTGGCATAAGCAGGCATTAGGGAAAGCACTTGAAAAAGCAGGGTTTTTTATTTACAAGTGCTTTGAAATAAACCTGGTGTAAGAGATTATTCTTTTACATCATTGTCTCAAAGCTTGCTGGGGACACAGATGAACAAGTCCTGGGCAAGGGTTGCAAAATCCTTTGTCTGAGGGACACAGATGGACAAGACCAGGGGCAACGAGAGAGATAAGCTGCAGCTTAATGGCTGTGAAGTGGTCTTTTGTGTGGACTTATCTCAAGGAAGATGGCCATCTCAGGGGAGTACACACATGACTCTTGCTCAAACACAATGGGATGTCACGAAGGCAGAAAAAGAAAGATAAAATGGGGGCCTACAGTCATGAGGTTTAGGTTTTCTGGCAACAGATTCCTCATGAAGAAGAGGATTCTGCCATGAGAAGCCTCACGACCTCCCTCTCTCCCTCTTGTACTTGCTCTGCACTCTACCAGCATGCTGAAAAAGAACAAAGGTGTCTGCCATCAGATTCCTCACTGCAGAATTCCTGCATGCTGATGGACTCTCCTGGGCCTGCTACCTGAGTCCTGCTGCTTCCTCCTGGACTGGCTCTGTGGCTTCTTCCTGCTACCTGCTTGCTGCCCAAGGCCGGCCGCACTGCTGCTGCTCTCCCCCTGCTGCTTTTGCCTCGGACCTTCAAAGTGCTGTGCAACGGGACGCTGCTGGATCCTGGTGGTGATTATCCCTGCTTTATGTGATTCTTGCTGCTTACCTATCTTTTCTATCGCCCTCCTTCCCTTCCCTGACTCCCTGATCAGGATTTGTAATAAGCTGGTTGGACCAACATATGAACCGTTGTTTCTTAATGTCACGCTGGGTATACAGATATTAAAAGAACCTCCTCTCCCTCCTATAAATTGGAGCGAAACACCTGGTTAACAAGCCGAATACTTACAGTGTCTGAAAGCTCCAATGAAAATCCAATTGACTTTAGTTTGGCTCATACTTTGGCAGGCAAGGAGAAAAGCCTGGGAGAAATGACCTTTGCTTATTCCCTAGAGTGTAAACAATTGAGAGATAGATATGAACAGATACACATTCTCTGTAGGAGCATTTTCTCCTCTTGGTACATACTACATAATGAATGTATAACTCACACTGGCATCGATAGTAATTATGCATATGCTCTGAGAGGGAACACAAGTTTTAAACTGGAGCCTTTCATAAAATCTTATTACCGTTGCTCCACAGGCCACTGTTCAATACAGTTAGTTAATAAGCATTAGTCAAATTCCTTTTGGGGTAGTAGCAGTAATATAGGTGAAATGTTTAATATAAATTTATTGCTTAATTACTTTCTAAAGAGAAAAGTATTTAGCTGAAATACATGTTTTATGATAGATTTTCTTTCTATTTTCTCTCTAACACTCAACACTGGTTTTGGCAATGAATACCATGGGAGATGAGAAGAGTAGTTAATTTTTATTCATTTGAAATCTGAATATGTATTGCTTTTCATACAAACAGTAACGTGAAAACAAAACTTTATGGTTAAGCATTCCAGTCGGGAAATGTATGGGCAATCTTCATTTTACCCCACAACAAATAGTGCATTATGTTACATCCTTTAATTATGTCACAAATAATATTTTTTTCCAACAAGTTTAAATACTAGTTTATGCAATTTTCTAGTACTGTGTATTATTCAGTGTATGCTAGGAAGAATTCATGGAAGTCTTTAATGTAAATTCACATAGCATGCTCATGTTACTCAAGAAATTTATAAATAATCATAGAATCATAGAATTGCTTAGGTTGGAAGGGACCTCAAGGATCATCAAGTCTAACCACAGCCCAACCATAGTACCCTAACTCTAACAACTCTCTGCTAAATCAAACCTCCGAGCACCACATCCAAACGGCTCTTAAACATAGCCAGGGACGGTGCCTCAACGACCTCCGTAGGGAGCCTATTCCAATGCTTAACCACCCTTTCTGTAAAGAAGTTTTTCCTAACGTCCAAAATCGCAGTTGGTGGAAGACCAATTGTCTTTAGATCTCAGACAGCCTTACAGAAGGGTTAATCCTAAAGAAAGGTGATTGAGGCAGAGCTCAGCAGCATTTTGATTCCTCCAGGTCAAGGCACCTGACCTCACCACAGGATATATTCCTGTCATAAACAAACAGATGCTTTCAAATTAAGAACTAATCATGGCTCTAAATTTACTGATGACTTAGAGGGTACTGTACAGATCACTAGTAGCCATAAAGAAAGCTAAGTATGAAAGCGCACACCAGTAGCAGGCAGCCTGTCAGTCTGTAGGCAACATGTCTTCTAGGGCCTTTCCCCTGCTTTTCAAGTTAAACAGGCTCCATCTCACAGGAATGCTCTTATTCTGCCGGCAGAGCTAACAGCAAGTCGCTGGGATGCAGAAGCTGAGATCCCTCCCTCTTTATATGCTGTACTGAGAAACCAAGCAGGTTGTAAGAGAAGGTAGAAGCGCTTTCTTTCCCAGTATCTAGAACCACGGAGAAGAAAGGGAAAAGGCATTTATGCACCCACGCTTTCACACACTTGCTCTTGATATTCATCTCTAGTAAAAGCTAGAGGAAAAACAGAAGAGATGTCTGTAGTGTGAAAAATGACAAAGGAGACTTCTCAGAGCACACAGAAATATCCGTTTCATCACGTTGCTACCCTATTGCATGCTGCCTGCTTTTGTCACAGCATGTTTCTTTGTTACTTGTGAACTTTGTATTGCAAATGCCACAGGTAGGTGTCCAAATATCGCCTGTGACAAAGTGGTTTTATGTTTCTATTTTTATCATTTCATTTATTTTGTTTTGTTTTTTGCATTCTTTCGAATAGTTCTGTTTTCCTTAACGGTACCGAAAATGGCTGTGTCTGCACTTTGGATGTGTTAGGGGATGGCTAATCAGCACAAGCAGGAGATATGTGATTATCTAAACCATTCATATTTTGTATTGTGATTGCTTTTATCATGCTCTTCACCGGGCATATAAAATTAAAACATCAGTTTAGAGTAACTCTTTTAATCCATTATAAATAAATTGAGCTTTACAGCTTTCTTCATTCTGCCCGTATGATTACACCGTTCCGGATCTTTGCATCCTTATGCTTCGATCAGATGCCATATCATAAAGTCCATTTAAAAATGTTATTTTGAATGAACTTGATAAGCATTAAATGGGGTAAAAATCTGTTTTGTTGCAAGCCAGGAAGAATGCATACTTGATTAAATATCAAAGACCAAAATGTACAGAATAATACCATCAGAACAGAAGCAAATTCAGCCTACAAGCGTTAAGAGAAGATACGATTAAACTGATTGCGATGTGCAGCTTTACTCATTGCTACTATTCAATTCCGCTGCATGCTGAAGTCTCTGTTTTACAGTAGAAGTAACATATTTTGCTCATCAGGCTAACATATAACATCTGGAACAAAATTATTGCTGCAGATGAAATCAAGAACTGTGACAGAACTTTTATGTTTCTATATATTGGAAGCAAGTATTCGCTAGATAAATCATCTTAATAGCGTGGTTTAACAGTGCTCTTTGCTAGTCACGCTACCAGACATCCATGGGACAGTGCTTTCTTGCCACTGTTACCATAAGAAATTAAAAAATTGAAATATTAAGTCTGAATGGATGTTCATCAGCCGCACAATTCTAAGAAATGAGTGGTTTGTTGCTTTCCTACAAATACTTGTCTCTCATAGCTGTGGTTATCTCAGATGCAGTAAACAAAGGATGTTGGCAGGACAGTGTATTTGCAGTAAACTTGTTGTGTATGGATTAATAGATATGAAATGTAAAAATAATTCAGTACACATCACTGATTTTTCATTTTAGTGCCTCCACTTAGTAATCTCAGTTTTCATTTTGTAGAAAATTTAACTGAGGATGTATCCAGTCAAGTGAGATTAAAACAAAAATGTATGGGAAGTGTTTTAGACTGGTTTCCTATTTATTCTTTTCCTGGCGGATGATGGATAGCAATTCTGGTGACTTTCTCTACAGCCTGGCATAGCGTGGAGGAAGAAATTCATAGCTGGAATGAGCCTGGAAAAGCCTCTGGCTACTCAAGTGCCTCCTACTAAGCCATCAGGTATTACCAACTAAAGAGATTCTAATTTCATGAGCAAAGATTCTAAATCCAAGGCACCAGTATGAAGTTTAAGACTGATTTTCAGTCATTAGTAGAGTCTGCCTTTGTCGTGAATGGGTTCTCTGAATAATTTCTTGGAGCCTGTGGTATATAATATATGTATGTAATTTAAGCTATAAATGACATCGAAGAGCTATCAGTGATTCACAGACATGTCTGAGTTGGCAGGAGGAAGTATGAAATGTAGAGAAGGATCGATATTGTGATATTTCTGAGTAGTATTTTTTTATTTCTGTTTGGACATCTGCCAGTGAATCCTAGCATGAACTACAAGAGAAGGTCAAGGACTGAATGAGTAGCT